GTTTAAACGCCGCGATTGCAATCGCGGCGATTAATCGCCGTGTGTATCTAGGCCTTGATGGCCTCTGTTGATTGTATTGCGTTGAGCGATGCGACCCGAACCAACCCAATCGCGGCGATTAATCGCCGTGTGTATCTAGGCCTTTAACCCCAGGCTACCCTACTATTGGCTAGAGGATTGGCGGCGAAATCGGGACAAGTTTGAATTCAAATGTAGGGCGGGAACTAATAAATAAAATTGCGGAAACAAAGTATTTTAGGTTGATTTTTGCCCAAATTCAGGTACACACTCATATTTTTTTAACTTTAGGTTAGTTTCAGTCCGTCGTCGACCGATAAATTTCATTTGGGAGTAACGTTGATCTAGAACTGTAACGGCCTGTTTGAACCTGCAGAACCACCATGAGCAGAAGAAAAACTAACTTTATGTGAGATTACTGCCTGTTACCGAGCAAAAGTAGGTGTATTATATTAGGACGCAGACCGAACTTTCTTAGTATATTCGTTTTAGGAATTTAAAATACGTTTCAAAGAAGAAATGTGCAAAAATCAAGAGGACAAGTTCAAATCAAATTTCCGTTTGCCGCCATGGATTCCCGCGCTCATTTACACACTCACACAAGCGCGCAGCGCCGAACCTAGCTTCACTTTTTCCCCGTGCTTTTAGATACGAGCGCTCCGTCTTTATGTCTTTGAGGCAGCATCATCAGGGTCGGATTTACGTTTTTGGCGCCCTGTGCAGAAATTTTCGAGGCGCTCCCCTCGCACGTCCCCCAACCCCCGCCCGCGCATTTCCCAACCCGACGGTCTTCTTTGGTTACTACGTGCTAACTCTAACTAAATACGAATTTTTATTAGAGTGAGTGAATGATTCTGGGGCAGAAACCAAAACCAGGTTCCTGTTACCGTTAATAACAAAACTAAGAGAAAGTTTGACCCTTAAAGTCCAGGGTCAGGTCATTTAAAAGATGGAACGCAATACAATCAATCAACAATCAGAGTTTCTGAACTTTCGACGCAATTCTCAATTTTTTGCTAAGTTTGGAAAAAAACCCAAAATCTGGCGCCCTGTGCAACCAACTGTGCAACTGCACCGATGCAGTGATGCACCTTTTAGGTAAATCCGGCCCTGGGCAGCGTACACTCTCGCTATACAGGTACTCTAGCGCACTCTAGCGACTCGCTCAGACGCTCGGTCCGGAAGGCTCAATTTTCAATTGGTTTGCCAAAATTACGGTTCACGGAATTGTTTTTTCTTGTGCAGTTTTCTTTCCCACTTACGTAGCATTTCATAACCCTAGTTCCTAGCTCATTCTATGTTTCGTGCTTTCATGGTACCATCTACCATTCTCATGTCTCAAGCGTCCAGCCCATATACAAACCAGAGGCTTCAAAGAGACTCATCGATTGCCCCGACTTAAACCGCTGGCCAATGAGAGGGCCAGGAAAGGCATCGATGAGTCTCTTTGAAGCCTCTAGTTTGTATGTGGGCTGGACGCTTCACGGTTCTCTGCAAGGTAGATTTATACAGGTATGGAAAAGTTGAAAATTTCCCATGAGCCTCAGTACGTGTCACATGACCTCGTGACGTAGGTTAAGGGGCCCGTTTTTTAATTAAATTACAATCAAATCAACATTCAAACGTTTGTGCGTTTAAACGCTAAAATTAATATCGCATAACCAAAATTGTGCAAAAAATCCCACAAAATTTTGACAAACGATAAACCGAACATAATAAATCAAAATAATCAAAACATCCAAAATGGCTGACGTTAAGGGGCCGCTGGAGAGCCAATCAGAGGCCAGTTGTTTAGTTCTGTCCATACCTGTGTAAATCTACCTTGGTTCTCTGAGCGCTTCTCTCGTGAATTTCAAGTTAACAGTGTATTTCATGCCGTGGACCGTGTATTGATTCGGAGGATACTGAGGATACCTACACGCATCAATTTCATTATTCAAATTTTACTTTCTTTTTTTGGAACCAGAAAACTTTTCTCTTACGTTAGAGGCAAAGGTAGAATTCATAATTGGTTTATTAAAGCGTCTTTGTATTAAGGGAAGTACTTACGTACACCCAAGGAGACGATGCAGACGATTATCGTATATTTCCTCCCTCTTTCCCATCACCGTCATCCAATCCATCCAATCCCGTCACCCTGATCATCTACATCTAATACATCCATCCAATCCCGTCCCCTAGTCATCCCCAGTTTGCAACCTAAACCTACCTGGACGATCCGGCAGTGAATTTGGTTTACTCCCATAAAATTTTTCGGGCAGTACTCGATCCATGCCAAGATTCTATCTCTTAAAAACAGCTCCAAAGTTTTAAATTTTCGTTGCTAAATTTTTCATTAGCCGTGGAATGAATTTTTATCATGATGAGCTGTGTGAACAGATAACAGATAACCTAGATTTTCTATTTTCAAATATATTATAGTAAGTCATTACTAATCCATCTATGGCTTGTGTGTGCATTTCATGTTTGAATTTTCCCCTCCATTCACTCAAATTCTGCTCTACTACAGTTGTAATGATTCCAAGCTTTAGTCCGCTATGAGTATTACCTACCTACTCTGCCTAGTATTGGTTGTTTTTCTTGTTTCATAGTCAGTTTAATATTACTCTATTCTAAGGTTTCCTACGATATTCTCTCTGAATTCTCTCATTATTTACTGCGCGAAGTCAAGCGTACTATTGGATTGAGTATATTCTCTGGGCATTGATCAGTGTTATGTCTGTGGTCAGTGTGGAAACGCAATGGAACTATACATTCGTGGCCTCCAATTCCTGTCTGTGTTCCTCTCAGAATAATGCAAGTTTACCAGGTCAGTTTCTCTTATTTTTTGTTCTTTGTCAGCATTTCCCATACCTATTATTGAGTCGGCCTCCTATGGTGTAGTGGTTGTAGCGCTTGCTTTATGATCGGGAGGTCCCGGGTTCGATTCCCGGCCAGGGGCCCCGAGTTTGATGGTCTCAAACAATGGTTGCCTGGGACTGGTTCAGTAGGGACGGATGGGGGATGGGACTTATAGCGTAGGAATAGCCCTTGAGGGCTATTTGAACAGTAAAAAAAAAAAAAAAAATAGAAATTGTCCGTAATCCTAGCAGCCTGTGCTGTGAGGTTTGAAGGAAACTTAACTATTTCAACTCAAAATCTATTCATAAAGGTCAGTCATTTCCAACCATAAAATGAGAAGCTCCTGTGCATGGTTTCAGGTTTACTGCTGCCATAGAATAAATAGACTACGTCAATGTTGGCATTAGTCTCTTTATTCTATGCTGCATTGCTGCTGCAAAAGATCAAAAGTGCAAATAAAATGCTTTTCTTATGTGGATTGAACCATACAAAAGATCCTTCTGGGAGTGTGTGCCCTGTTCGATTTCATATTTTTTTATTGACCTAAACATTTCTATGGATGCTGATCGAAACGTATCATTGCTCCAACTTTTTCACCATTTTTGTACAACCAGCTGTGGAAGTTTCAATAATTACTTGAATAAATGGAGGTAAAGCTGCAATTTAACAAGGAAAACGCCTGCCTGTGATTGGTTAGGAAGAGAGTGGGAGGGAGAAGAGAGGAACTGATTTGGACGGTGAAATGAAAAGGCTTGCAGAATCAGAGATCTGACTACCTCTCAGCATTGTAGTGCTACCTATACATGCTGAGGTTTTCCTGTGTTTTCCTTATTTTCAGGCAGTGCTAAAAGATAGACAGATCTTTTCAACTCATAGTTGCCTTGCTGCCTTCATTGACATGACAATTGAAATTGAAAATGCGGGTTGAGCTAAAATGATGCCTTGGTGGAAGTTGGCGAAATGATGAATTTTGGTGAGCATTCACAGACAAGTTTAAAGGGGGCGGCAACCCTCAATTGGAAAATGAGATAGTACTAAAAATTGAAGTGGGAAGGTATAAGAAGCAAAATGGCTCCGTCCCAAATAAAAAATTCGCAAATTCGGCAGAGATATGAAAGATTGTAAGTCCGACTGGTGACATCATGCGCTCTTGGTGCGACTGCAGTTCACACTCACACAACTCCAAGTCTGGCACATTTGCTGTCTGGCGCCGCGAAATCAGCTTAATAGTCACACCTAAGCAAAGAAAAAAGGTGGCCAGGAACGAGGGAGATCAGGGCGAACTAATAACTTGTCGCAACCACTCGTCAGCCACTTTACACCGGAGACAGAATGCAGAGTGCAGACTGGAAAACGCAAGACGGAGCTCATGACGCTCAGCTCTTTTTTCGTGAAAGCAGCTCAATGAATACAGATATTTGCAGACAGATTTTGGCAATGTCCATCGCACACTTTTCTTTGTTGATTTAGCTGAACTTGGCTTTAAGGTTGCTGTCCCCTTTAACAAAAATTTAAAAGCGAATAGGGTACACACTTCCATATGGAGTGCGCTGGGTCCTTTCTCACTTTTGACAATTTGAAACTTCCCAAATGTCAGGAAAAAATTTTTTGGGCACCAGGGTTTAGGCTTCGATTATAATACTACCCCATTTTTAATATCTTCAAATGGTTTGTGAAGTTGACCATGTGTGCCATTTGGTGGCTTGTTTACAGTCGACCAGACCCTAGATTATGACAGAGTTGCCACATACTGGAGCACGATTGAAGTTACTCATTGAGGCTGTATTGTCCAGTACTGCAGAGATTCGTGACCCACCAAATGTTTGGGCTAAGTTCGAAAAAATCACATAAAAATTACTAGAAAATTTTGGAAAAGTGGACTGTACACATTTGGAAGGAAAACAACCAGGTCATGCGGGGCCGGCTGCAGAATGAATCAGGGTTCACTAATTTGAAATGAAAAAAGGCAGAAAAGAAACACAGAGATTTAAAATTTGAAATAAAAAGAGTTTTTAGATTGAACATTTTAATAACAGATTTCTTACACTTTAGAAGAATGATGAGAATGAGATGCAGAGCGACAGCTAGAAGAGCCTTAAGGGAAAAAGAGACTTGAACACTCTACTGGGTACTGGGTAACAGCAACAATACTTATATTACTTTTAAAAACAGAAAAAGGGTGTCATGGACTAGGGAGGAATGCAAAGTATATAAGATAGACAGCAGCAAGAGGCAAGGAAAAAACAAACAATGAAAAAAAGATAAAGTAGGGATTAAGCAGGGGGTAAGTACAGCAAGGGCAAGGGAGGAGATCAAAAGAATGTCAGTAAAAAAATTCGAAGGGAAAGGGAATAGGAGAAAGAACATAGGAGCAGCTCAGAGGGAGGAAAAAAGGGAAGCTGGTATAGATAAGGTGAACACTGTGCCAGGTGAGGTTAGAATCAAGTGTGTAAATGTGGCGGGATTGTACGAGAAGCTGGACGAAATTAAGAAAATAATAGAAGGTAAAAAGATAGATGTATTAGGCGTGGTAGAGACGCACATCACAGATAGGACTTAGGATAGGGAGTTAATAATGGAAGGTTATACTATGTACAGATGTGATTTCTCGCAGTTCACATACAGGGGGACTGATCTTGTATGTAAATAATAATATAGAAGTACTGAACGAGCAGGTGGTAAGAAATAGAGAATGGTGGGCAATCAATATTAAAGTCAAAATAGGAGGTGAAAATTTGAACATTGGGGAAATATATAAGTCGCCAGCATGGAGTGAGAAGAGGTTCATAGGAAAGTTTTAAAGGTGGGTAGGGAAGGAGATAGAAGCAGGGGGGAGAGGTATAACAATGGGGGACTTCAGGGTCATTCCATTGTAACGGGTGTGACAACAATTTAACTTTAAACAAGAATTTGAACTCTTTCTTGGGGTTTAATTAAAAAATTATCTGCAGTAGTAGAAAGAACTTTTTTTATAGATCATTTCAGTTTATCAGAAATTGTTTTTTACTTTGTTCCATTCCTCAAAAAAAATTAAAAGGCTGCGTAACGGGTGTGACCGATTTTGGAAGTGAGTTTTTCCTCAGTGAGTGTAAAGTGGAAACTCAGCGAATTTTATGAATGTAAAAATCTGATTAAATTATATGATGAAGCCAAGGGTTTTTGCTTCAACTGCCGATGATCCGTTTTCAATTATCTTTTTTTCTTTCCTTAAAAATGGGAAAGTTTGCGTAACGGGTGTGACAGATTGTGTCTCTGAGGTCCATCATTTCTGAGAGAGTTTAAAAGTTAAAAAACTTACTTTTTTTCTCATACTCTTATTGTAGGCAATCCTAAGCAGTAAATCAATCAGCAATTTGACGCATTTTAATGTAGAACATGCCAAAACTACATTTTTCTTCAAGGTGGCCCAGACCTACCGTTTGCGATACGGGTGTGACAGATTGTGTCTCTGAGGTTCATCATTTCTGAGAGAGTTTTAAAGTTAAAAAACTTACTTTTCTTCTCATACTCTTATTGTAGGCAATCCTAAGCAGTAAATCAATCAGCAATTTGACGCATTTTAATGTAGAACATGCCAAAACTACTTTTTTCTATAAGGTGGCCCAGACCTACCGTCCCAGGGCTTTTCTTCAGGTAACCCAGGTCGCACGAAGTCCAGGACCGCGGAATTGAACCCCAAAGGAATCGCGACCCTAAGGAACCAGAACTTCCCGGTCCCAGACTCCCTCCGGCTTCCCGTGGGGGGCAAAAGGGGGTCTGTACTTCAAAAGTCAAGGTTCAAGTCAACATTTTGAAGTTATTTAATTCGAATCAGGGAGCGCAGAAATTTCCAACCTAAATCAACACCAAGAAATCCAAAATCGGCCCATCCGTGCCCAAAATACTGACCCCCGAAGGTGGGGAACAGAGCCCATTTTCAAAAAATGCAAGTTCGCGAAATTGACGGGCAACAGACCCCAAAGATTCCGAAATTGAGGGTCCTGTTGTCCAGATAGTCTTCTCTGACGTCGCTCAGGAGGACTCTGAATTTGTAAATTTAATCAGTGGAGCCCCCCCCCCCCCCCCNGGAGCCCCCCCCCCCCCACTGATTAAAGTTACAAATTCCTCCGACTCCCCCTGAGCCTCATCAGAGAAGATTTTTGGTACAATGGGACCCCTCAAATTCGGATTCCTTGGGGTCCAATACCCAAGAAATCCTCCTTTTTTCCGAGTTTCCACGTCCATTTCGCAAACTTTCATTTTTTGAAAGGGTGCCCCGTCCCCCACCCCGAGGGGGTCAGTATTCTGGACACGGATGGGCCGACCTTGGACTTCTTGGTGTCAATGTAAGTTAAAAAGCTCCGCACTTTCTGATTTTAATTAAATAATTACACAATTCTGACACAAACCTTGACTCTTGAAGTATGGACGGCCCCTATACCTCCCAAGGGGAGTCGGGGGACTCTGGGACCAAAAAATTCAGATTCCTTAGAGGCGATTCACCATTCCTCCCCGCGGTCCTGGACCTCGCATGACCCAAATTAACCAACAAAAACCCTGGTACAGTAGGTCTGGGCCTATAGTAAAGTATATATAGTAAATATTTCAATCAAATCGGAGAGAGTTCAACGAGTTCTATTTGAAGCCCTTTTGAGATAAGGTGTATTCACTTTAAATACTGAAATATGGCAAAAATGTTGGCTATCTCCCTCTTCTTAGATGTTATTACATAACCTCTAATTGTGCATATGAGTGTATTTCTTGTAATAACCATAGAAAAAATGGTGAGAAGTGAGGCAACATCTGCATAATTGAAGCCTCTTCTCATTGGTCACACCCGTAACGTGTCACACCCGTTACGCATTTTTGCCCATCAATCGTTGAAATAAAAATTTGGAAAAAATACTCCGAAGCTGTACTTGACTTGAATACATATGGAAAAAATTTGCATCTCAAAATGACATGAATTAAAAAAGTTACATTAAAAAA